AATACTATAAAAGAAAGGCATAGGAAACTACAAACACATAATTGCTTTTTTTTTTTTTTTTCAGTACTGGGGATTGAACTGAGGACCTTGCACTTGCGAGGCAGGCACAATGCCACTGAGCTATATCCCCAGCCCAAAACATGTAACTCTTTTTCATTGTTGTTGTCTTTTTGAGACAGGTTTCACTATGTAATCCAGGCTGGCTTCTAACTCATGGCAACCCTCCTGCCTCAGCCTCCTGGGTACTGGGATTATAGGTGTGTGCCTCTATGCTCAGCTACAAACATCTAATTTGATCTTTACATTTTGATTTCTTAGTATCACATACAGTTGTATTGTTTAGAGTCTGGTGGAATGCTCCCTTTTAAAACTTTTCTTTAACTTATTTAAGCCTGCCTCTCTCCCCCCACCCCCACCACCTCTCCCCTTTTCCCTCTTTTTTTTCTTTGCAGAGTGTTACACCCTAAGCCATGCAGTGCCTTTCCCTTTTAAACTGTGTCTTTAGACAGTTCTACTTTGGAGATGATCACTTTTTTTCCCATAGTGGTAAATACACCTTATCGTGTAGGGGAGGGAGAACCAGCAAGGCCAGGCAGTCTCTTTCACATTTAGACACCAGAGCTAAACCGACTGGGAGTGGAGAAATAAGAGCAATTCTACAGAGACTTTCAGAAAATAGAGAAGCTGTGAGAGAGCCTTTCCCAGCACATTTTATCAGTATTATTCTACCCCAAACTCCATAACAAGATATCAAGTGCATACAAAAGAAAATCACAGGCCGTTATCCCTCATGAACATAGATGTAACTAACCATTCTTTAGCAAATCTTTGTAACAGATACAAAAAATAACATATCGAACCAAATGGGTTTCATCCTCAGAGCATAAGAACAAATTAATCATTGCAATTCCCTATACTTATAGAATAAAAGAAAAAGCAATATCTTTTCAGCAGATGAAGCAAAAGAATTTAACAATCTAGGCATGGTGGTACAATCTTGTAATTGGCTAAGGCAGGAAGTTTGCAAATTTGAGCCCACCCTGGCCAATTTAAGGACTTAGCAAGATCCTGTCTCAAAATTTAAAAAAATAACTAAATAAGAGAGCTGGATGTAGCTCAGTCCAAAAGCCCTCAGTGAAATTGTTAATACCTCCCCCAAAACAAAACAACCAAATCCATTTGTGGTTTTTTAAAAATTCCCAGTAAACCAGGAAGAAAATAAAAATTTAAAAAACAAAACTGGGAGGGAAAGGGGACAGGAAAGAAGGGAAAGGAAAAATTATGAGAAAAGAAAAAAAGTGGAAACGAAATCTGTGTAAATAGGGAAGGGTGGAAGGGGTGAAGGGTGTACAGGTAATGGGGAAAAAAATAAGAACCAAGATACATCATGTACAGGTACAAGCACCCAATGATAAATGTAAATGTATTGTATACCTAAAATGTGCCAATAAAAGAATTTAAAAAAATAAAATAAAAACAAAACCAAAATAAGATTATAAGTTATAAAGTGAAAAATAATTAAAAATTTAATCATGATGTTAGACAACTAAGTTGACCTTTTAAATATTCAATTCAATCTTAAAATATATAGAGATGTGAAAAAATTTGTGGAACTTCTATATTAATAGGTATCTATTGAGTACTTGTTAAGAGGTCGATGAATATCATTTGATCCTTATAACAACCCTAATAAATAGTTATACTTTTTATTCCCATTTTACAGATGACAAAATGGAGGCTCAGAGAAATCAAATATATTGCCAAAGGAAATGCAGCTAGGAAATGACACAGCCTGCATTTGAATTGAAGGTCTGTTTTGGAGTTTGTATCTCTAAACATTGTTCAGTACTTCTTTTCCTCCGACCATTTTATCTTATAAATTAGGCAGCCAAGGCTGCCTTACACAATGATATAAGTTAATGGCAAAGTTGGGACTAGAACCCAGGACTTCTGACTCTCAGAGCACTGGTTTTTTTTGTTTTCAAAAACTGTTATTTTCCCATTGAATCCACCTGTCCTTTCCTTTTCACCAAAACAGTTTTCCTCCTTGGAAGCTCCTGAAATACTAGAGAAATAAATATAACTTACAAAACTAAGGATTGAATTTCATCTCCTGCTCTGTTTAGCATTTAAAACCACTAAGCCCAAAGAAGACTCTGCCCATACTCAGAAAAGAGCAGAATTGACTGAAATCCTCTTTTGTAGGAATGTTGATGGTGAGAAAGAACAATAGTATTAAAGGGAAAAAGAGGTAAGGAAAATTAGATTTGGGGCTTGAGAATACTGTATGGTATTCATTCATCTTTCAGGAATTTGAAACTGAGGCCTGTACAGGGGAGTCTGAGGCATGTAAATGCCTCCAGGAGGCCTCTAAATGGCTCTTCTGTGGACAAAGATCAGTTTTCATTCTCACTCATAGCCACCAAGTTCTCTTGGGGCTCCCTGAGAGGAAGTGGCCCCAGGGGCATCAAGGGTCAGATTTGCCCTACCCACTAGGCAAGGTTTGACAAAATTAAAAAGAAAGAAAAATTATTTATAAACAGTATGGATTAAGAAAAAAATGGTATTGAGTAGATGTTTGAGGAAGTCAGGAGAAAGAAGGAAACTCTCATCCCCCTTTCTACAGAAGTTGATGTCCCCTCAGTGACGTCCCCACCCAAATGGAAAGAAGCCACCTTCCCTGTGTCCTGCACAAGGTAGGGACATGTAGCTCGAGCATCCTGGGATGAGAGCAAGCTGTTGAAAATGAGTGGGAATAATGTATTTCGGGAACCAGAAAATACTTCACCAATTCACAACCCTGTTGAACATTGCTTCTAACATCATCATGGTTCATGTGTATACAGTAGTCACACGTGCATAAACTATGTGGTAAAGTCTTTGTTTTTCTTTACCAAGTGGATTCCAAAAATACTGATCATTCCAAAATAGAATTTTTCCTTCATCCAAAATAGTCTGACCACCTAGTTTTAGATCTTTAATCTCTTCCCTCAAATAAAGTATAGAGTTACAGAAATTTTACTTGTCCTCTTAGCTCCATTAAGAAATATCTCCTAGTGGCCACAGAGGTTGGAAGAATATAGAAAATTATATTTTGTGTCTTACAGAGAATTTTTTATTCCTCTTAGTTTAAATTTTATATTTTTAAGATTAAGAAAAAAACAAAACAAATGAACACTAACAAGAAATAAGCCCAAAGCTAACCTTTTCCAAACTTTTAAAGTGCAGGATTTTTGAAAAACTGTGAAGGATGGTTACCTAATGTGGCTTGGGTCTGGCTGGAGTCCTGACTCTGTCATTCACTGTGGCCTTAGATCATTAATTTACCTGAGCGTAGTTTTATCATGTCTCACAGGAACACAATAGTACCTTTTTACATGGCTGTTGTAAGAATTAAATTTAATAACTCTTGTTTTAAAGCACATAGCACACACTACTATAAAATTGCTTCTTGACTTACAGTGGAGTTGTGTCCCAACAAACCCATCATATGAGGTGAAAATGTCATAAATCACAAATACATTCACTGTATGTAAACTCATATTTAGCAACATGGTACACTGTAGCATCAGCTGTTTCTCCTCACAATCATTCGCTGGCTGGAAGGTGCCCTGCTGCAGCCCAGCACTGTGAGAGATATCATAATGTATATTGCTGGCCACGGAAAAGATTGAAATTGAAAATTCAAAGTAGAGTTTCTACTGGATGTGTGTAGTTTTTGCAGCATTGTTAAGTGGACAAAATTGTAAGTTGAGTCATCATAAATTGGGAACCATCTGTATAGCTTAACTGCTGTAGTAAGGAGTATAAAAGTAGAGAGAAAGTAATAGTCTTGGAGAAAGGGGACATAGATGGAAGAAATCTCTAAGGAGAAAGAAAAAATTGATCCCAAGTCCTGGGGCAAAACCTCTGCTAGAACAAATAACACTGTTTCAAAGCATCCTAAAGAAAGATACAGGTTCCATCTCCCTCCAGGCTGACTCTGCCCACGCCAGGGCACACTGCCCATGAGTGGGCAGCAGCCCTATTAAGGGACGCAGCAAAGGAAAAGAGTACTTTGGGGGAACTGTCAAACAGGAAAGGCTGTTTGGAGGGTCCATGTGCAGATGGTTATTTCCTAAATAACAGCTTCCCTACTGTTTCTTTTTTCTCTAAGCCCGGAGGTCATAATTACCACTAAGGAATTCTAGAGTTGTTGGGATGACCTAGAAATATGTTCAGGGAAAGATGAGACGTTTCCAGTGACTTCAGTATAGAATCAACAAGATCTAATAGCTAAAAAAGAGGCTGGAAAATCAGGATAGGGCTAGATCAGGAAAAGTTTGCTGGGTGACAAAAACTCACTCCTTGACCTAACTTTAGTCAGGCTCTTCTGAGTCCTCCTTTTCTTTAGGCCCAGCCTTGATCTCTGTCTTGGTTCCCTTACTCCAGCTTTAGCAAGAATCCTACTGAGTCTGTTTAGTGAGAATCCCCTATCCTTGGTTTCATCCTCTCAATATCTTATTACCCTGCTTTGCTTTCAGCAAAAATCATATTACATCAGAGCAGCAAAGAATTATCCTACTTCTTAGTATTTTTCTATCCACCAGTCCCTTCACTCTGCTCTGAGGCTATAAATCCCATTTCCTTCATATATTTGAAGTTGAGCCCAGTCTCTCTCCTTTGCTGCAAAATCCTGTTGTAAATAGCCACTGATGGAGTTCAGGACACACTGTCTCAAAACATGACACCTTGGAGTATTGAGTTTATTAAGCTGAACGAATTTGAAAAACCTCAGGGACATGAAGGACTCTGATCTTTCCCTGAAGCAAGTCATAAGACCTCCTGACAGGTACCCTCCCTACATCTGGAAGGAAGGAGTGTCTTTCCTCATCTCTGAAGGCAGAGGGACACTGAGAGGAATGACCTGGCCTTCCTAGCTTCCTCCAGCTTGTTATCCTGTTTCCATGACTATCCATACTGCAAGTCTAGTCTAAAACACTGTGATCTAACAATTTCTTTGAGTTTTCATTTCCTTGCAAAGGGTCCTAGGTCACATAAAACTTAAATTAAGTATATTTATATGATTTTCTCTTCTTAACCTGTCTTTTGTTATAGACCCATGGCTAAGAGGCTGGTAAGGTAGAAGGAAAAAGGTTTTCCTCCTTTACACTTTCCTTGAGCAATGTCTTCCTTACCACCTTTAAGAATGTTATGAACAATTTTTTCTTCAGCAATAACATATCAAGTAGATTAGGTCATCCTTGGTGCACAGCCCAAGGGGAGCCAGTAGGGTTTTAGTGTTTCATGTCGAAGTCTGTCTGCTAGCATGTGAGCTCTGTTAGCAGTGTGACAAATGCCTGCACAGGGAGGGCTTGGTTTCATGGGACCAGCTGCAAGAAATCCAAGGACAGCAATAAACAAATGAACTGTTTTGGATCCTGTGAAATCTTTTTCCTTATTCACCTCAAGAACAAAGCACCTAAGAAAATGGTGAAGTTAAGGGCCGGGGATTTAGTTCAGTGGTTCCGCTGCCTGCCTTGCAAGCACAAGGTCCCGAGTTCAATCCCTGGTACCAAAAAAAAAAAAAGAAAGAAAGAAAATGGTGAAGCATCTTTAATAATGATGTAAATGATTTCTGTTCTTTAAAGTACATTATTTCTGGGCCGGGGATTTAGCTCAGTAGTTCCGCTGCCTGCCTCGCAAAGCGCAAGGTCCCAAGTTCAATCCTTGGTACCCCCCCCCCAAAAGTAAATTATTTCTGTAAAAATGACAACTCTGACTTATAAAGCCTATACACTATGTGTATATATGGTCACAACTAAGGACCAGTGGCTAATGTCCCACGAGAGAACAATAAGGAAAATCCTGAATGTGGCGTCTGTCACAGGTATTTCAGGGTGCAGGCTAGGTACCAGAGTGTTTGAAGAGGCCTGTCTGTAAGTTTGTATTACCAGGGTGACAGTTCATGGCTAGAGCCTAGATTATTGCTTTTGAAAACACCTTCTGAAATGTAGGCCCAAAGCATAACCTAGCATAAATGGAATCTGACTTAGGGGCTGGCTAACAGCATTTGGTTTTAAATGTGACAGGCTTGCAACACAGGTGACAGAGTTTGTCCTTATTCCAAAATGGGTAAAGTAACCTCATGTATCCAGTTCCCTGAGCCTCATAAAAGTTTCCATTCAACCGTCTTTCTAAAAAACTGAATTAACCTTCCACCTTGGAAGGCAGAATTGTCTTTGTTCACAGAGTGGTACATAATTCAGAACCTCATTCGGGAGCAGGAAGGGGGAGAGCCCAGAGTGAAAGAGAAGAGGCCGGTGGAGATGGCAGCGTCCCAGAGGGGAGATGGCCATCTCCTGAGAAAAAAACAGTTTCACCAGGGCCCCGGCTCGGGCCATCTGCGCTGTGTTTGCTTTGGACAGCGCAGGCGAAGAGGGCTCAGGGTTAGTCTCTCCCCAGAGATGGTGAGAGCGACCCGGGCGAACCCCCAACCAGCGCGCTGCCTGCTGCCTGTCGCTGAGCCCTGCCATTTCCGGAAACTTTATAGAAGAAGTCCCAGCTCTCTCCTACGGGGCCGCCACCCTGTCCAGGCCGGCTCCTCTTGAATAAAGTCAGCCGGGCGCCCGGGGCTGCTGAGCTTCTGCGCGAGGGGAAGGCGCCAGGCTCGGTGATTGAAACCACATGTGCTGGAGGAGTCAGAGCAGCAACCCGGACACGAGATCAGCTGCTACCGCCGCGTTTCTTTTTCCTTTATCCCTCAGGCTTCCTAGGTCAGATCCTCTGAGAACCCTAGACCACCAATGTCCCGCCAGGAAGAGCAAGTTTTGTTTTGTTTTTTAATTTAATGAAAAGGCATTTTACACACACACACACACACACACACACACACACTAGAAAATGACCAGAAACCCCAAGGCCAGAGGCCTCTGCTTCCAAGCACACCCTGCCAGCAGCAGGAACCCTCTTGTGGATTTTGAAGCCCCCCATTCCCGCGAAGCCAGCAATTAAGGGGTGGAATTGCTTGTGGTTGTATGGCATATTTGTCAAACTACCCCAGTACCTCGATAAATAAAACAAAAGAAAATAAATCAAACTAGTATAGATACATGTACATGCTAACTCTTTTTTCCATTTAAAACTTTAAAACCTCGGGGCTGGGGCTGTACTTCAGTGGTAGAGTGCTGGCCTAGCATGTGTCTAAAAGAGTTATAGAATGAATGCACAAATATATTCTCTTTATTTAAAAATAAAAACAAGAATACACCTCAAGACCTTCCTTGACTCAAGCCCTTCAAGCTGTTTCCACTCCCCCAAGTAATTCCTGCTATTAGTTTAATGAATATTCTTTTCTGTGTAGGTATGGGTACATATGTGCATACATAAATATAAAACTATTTTACACTTAACTAAAGTGGGATTTTAATGTATTATTTGCAACTTACTGCACTTTTCAGTAGTTTGGAAATTTTGTCCATACTAGAATATACAGATTTACTTTCACCTCTGTGATGGAATTGATAATTGCAAAAGGAGAAAAGGCAAGATACAAGGATTAGCTATAATAGAATGTCAGCCTATGGGACAAATCTAGCAATAATTCCTTACAATTTGTGTAGCAGGGAGCTAAGGATGATTTTTACATTTTTGTGTGTGTGTATAAGTGTTTTTGTTGTTTTAGTTTTGTTTTTTGCAGCGCTGGAGATCAACCCAGAAGAGAGTCTTTTTCATGGTAGGCAAACACCATATAGTGGTATCTCCTTAACAAACTTAATTCATTCCACGATTCTGGTCGCAGAATTTGTCCCACAATTTTGATTGCAACCAAATTGATTCCTATCCAGTAATGCTAGTAACTTGTCTTGGCCAAAATCCCATGCCTCTTGTTTTGTGTCCCTGCATAGGTCTAGGGAGAGAAACATCAAGAACCAAATGGAGGTTTCTGACAACTGCTTCCCTGAGCTGAACCTCTCACCTGGGTGGAGGCACTGCAGGGTTCTGGGTGTTGCTATTTCTTGCCTCCACTCTCAACATTTTAGCAAGCTAAGAGCAGGATTCATGTCTTACCGTCACTGTGTGGTAGAAGAGATACTGGCCACAGAATCAGAACATACTGATCTTAGTCCTACTCTTTCCAGTACAAGCTGAGTGACTATTGCTAGTAATTCTCCCTGACCCTTACTACCACCTCTGTTAAGTAAAGATAATAAATCCTTTTCAGTCCCATCCCCTGATGGTATGGTGTCTGTCTCATTTCTGTCCAATTGTGTAGAGGGGCCTGACCATCCCTGTTCCAGCTCACCACACTCATAGGGTCTAGAGCAGCACTAGCCACCAAGCTACAAATGGCAGCTAAGTACTTCAAATGTGGCTACCTGGAACTGAGCTGCACTCTAAGTATAAAATACACAGTAGATTTTGAGTCACTATAATTAAAGGAGTATAAAAGACCTTGTTAATAATTTTTATGTTAATTATAAATTGAAATAATGTTTGGTATATTTAAGATTAAATAAAATATAGCATTAATTTCACCAGTTATTCTTTTTCTGTTTGTTACATGACCACTAGAAAAATGTAAATTGCATTGGGGGCTTGCATTCTATTTCTGTATTTTCTGTCGGACCACATTAAAGTGACAGGAAAGGGTTAACTCTGTACTTTGTTTTCCTGACAACTGACTGGTGATACTGTGAGTACTGGTGACTACTGGTTGGGAAACCCAGCCTAAGATAACTCTCTCTGGGTCTGGGCCACTGGAAACTGAAGTGAGAGGACACCCCTTTCACTGGGTGACCCTGACAGTGCCAGCTCATGCTCCATGAGCAGGTCTGGCTCTCCTGATGGTTTCAGTGTGCTGGGTGAGCTGTGCTCCTCACCATGTAATGCAGAATGACATCACAATCCCAGCCTCAGTGAGCTCGGATGGACATGCCAGGAAATCAGACCCCACTGCACCACCCAGCCTGTCACTTTGCATATTTCCCTTCTTCCTTCAGATCACACCTATATCCTCCCTGGAGGTAAAGATACATGACAGTAGCAAATATCATCTGGACCAAGTGCAGATGGCTCCCAGCTGCTCATTAATGCTGGTTATTAGCTTCTGAGGGCAGCACAGGGCTGTGTGTAAAACAACTGCTCATAGGAAAAGCTTTTGAGCAAGCCCCTCACTATTATTTCCTCCCGGTTCTAACATTAGTGCTTATAATTCTGTCAAATAGCCATTCATAAAGGTTTAAGAATTTTTTTACTGTTAAAATTCATATATACCTGGGAAAGCTAATGGATTTAGCTACTATCTTTCATCATTTGTGTGTGTGTGGGGGGGGTGGTATCATGTAGCAGTTGAAAGCAAGGGCTCTAGAGTTAGACTGCCTGGAATTAAAATCAAGCTCCACCACTTAACAACTGTGTGGCCTCAAGTGTGCTACTTAACTTCTCTGTGCCTCATTTTCCTTGTCTATAAAATGCATATAAGAACATGTACTTTAGTATTGTGTATTGAATTATTGTATCGTAGTAAGAACACAACATGAAATCTACCTCTTACATTTTTAAGTGTATGGTACATTATGTGTCACTAAGATACAATGCCATGTAATGTGTCCCTAGACTTTACTCATCTTATATAACTGAAATTTTATACCTACTTATTAAAAGCATCCCATTTCCCTGGCCCCTCAATCCCTGGTACCCACCATTCTATTCTCTGCTTCTATGAATTTGCCTATTTTAGACTCCTCACACAACTGGAATCACACAGTATTTGTCTTTCTGTGTCTATGTTACTTCACTTGGCATCATGTCCACAGGTTCATCCATGTTGTCACATATAGCAGAGTTTCATTCCTTTTAAGGCTGAATGATATTCCATTAAACAGAAGAAGAAGAGCATGTACCTAATAGCATGGTTGAGAAGATTATATGAGATTATCCACATATAGTGTTAGTGCCTGGCACACGTAAGCACTCTACCTCCCACCCTGCCCCTTCCCCAGGGGGTATTGAACTTAGATCCTTCAAACTGAGCTATATCCCCAGCCTTCTTTATTTTTTATTTTGAGACACAGTTTTGCTAAGTATCTAAATTTCCCATGCTGGGCTCAAGTTTGGCATCCTTCTGCCTCATCTTCTCAGAGTGATGGGATTACACACATGTGTCACCATGCCTGTTTCCTTATTTTTAAATTTTAAGACAGGGTCTGGCTAAGACCTTAAGTTGCCCAGGCTAGGCTCAAATTCAGATTCTCTTGTCTTAACTTCTCAGTAAATACAGTTTGGGGAAAGCAGAGATGGGTCAGACACAATTTCTTTCAGGTTACTTTCTTGGTGAGGAATTTGATGTGTAGAACCACATACAAGTAGAAGTAGACCCACTCCTCATCTCTGTGATAGATCCTCATTCTTAAAATTCTGTCCTTAGTTTGCATGACACCCATTTCTCCAGGATTTCCTCCTTCCTCCTCCCTCCATTGGTTCTCCCTCATGAGTATGTCTCATGAATATTGGTTCCAGCTTCATTTCCCCTTCACACTTTCCTTGGTGTTCTTGTTAACCCCAGGGCCTCCACATGCATAGATGCTAAAAATTTCCAAATCTAGCTCTACCTACTAGCCCTCATCCCCTGCACCAGAATACCCAACTGAAGTAGCATTCCTTGCATTTCTCTCAGGCACCTGAAACTCAGGTCTGTGCCTCTGGCATTCCTCATCTGATTTAATGGTGTCATCCCCCACTGAGCCAGAACCAGGCAGTCATGCTTGATCTATCTCTCTTTGCTTCTTGCCCAGCGATGGTCCTATAGATTCTGCCTTCTGAATGCCCATGATTTTGACCCTTCTCCATCCTTGCATCCTTGCTTAATACAGACTCAGATCTGCATTCAGTTACCTCCAAAATGGATTCCTTCCCTTCAGTTTTATATTTTCCATCCAATTTATTCAATACCTATTTTCTAAAATGCTTTTTTTCTTTCCAGGTTCAACTTCAAATTCAGTATGGTGAAATAGCCCTTAAAGATCTGACTTTGGTTCTGTCTGTATCCTGCGTAACTGATTCATACCTGTGCTCTGTTCTAGGTACACTGAACTGCTTCCTAGCATGCACATGAGCAGTTATGCTACTGGTCTTTGCACTCACAACTTTCTCTCTCTACAGCACCCTTTTCTCCTGCCTGTGGTCCCATGGTCTACTTCCCACTGGTCCCTTAAGACACGGGGGTCACATTGTCTAAGCTTTTCTTGACTGCCCCTCCACAGCACTGTCTGTGCACTTCCAACCCCTGCACTCTGTATTATGATGTCTGCCCCACTAGACTGCTAACCTGTAGGATCCAGTCCATATTCTTCCTCATTGCATCTTCAGCCCTTTATGCAGTGCTGGGGACCTAGCAGGTACTCAGGAAATAGTTGTTGAAGAAGTGATTAGAATCAAGATAACTTGCCTTATAAGGAAGCAGTACTAAGTAGTGGCTAAGGACAGGGATTCTGGAGCCAGATCATAAAAATGCAAATCTTACTTTTTTTTTTTTTTTTTTTTGGTACCAGGGATCGAACTTGGGTCCTTGTGCTTGCGCAGCAGGCGGCGAAACCACTGAGCTAAATCCCCGGCCCAAATCTTACTTCTATAGCTTACTGAGAGGTAAGTTCCTTAATTTTTCCACGCCTCAGTATCCCTAGACACAAAAATGGAATGATAATAGTAGCCAATAACCTTATCAGTTAGTGATGAAAATTAAATAAGTGATTATCTGTAGGACACATAGAATGGTACTTGCCACTAAAGTGCTACATGAGTGTAACTATTATGTCTAGGGCTTTAGAGCTTTTAAGTAGCCTTTCAAGTAGGCATTTAACCCAGGTGTCAGACCTTAAAGCTTATGCTATTTTTACTCTGTGATGCTCTTGAAGATTTGCATGAACTCTGCACAAGGGCATTTGGATAGAATCTGCATAGAAAGGAAAGAGCATCCATGTTCTGCAATTCTGGAAGCTTAAAGCTTACACATGCAAGAATATGCCTGTGTGTCACCAGGAAAATGTTTACTTCATACATAGGAACATATCCTAAATTCACATGTTCATAAAATGAGTTGGTTCCTATTCTATTCCACATCAGTCTCATAATAGCAATAGATGGAAATCAGCATATTCTGGTCATCACAAAAATATCTATTAGATTTCTCCTTTGCCAACTTACTGCCAGTGTTGTATTTTATAGAGGCTTTGGCCTAGGATGTGCTTGACATCTTGGCTTCTCCTAGAAACATCAGCCACATGTTAGAAGAGCACATTCATGGCCACTTCCCTCTGTTATGGCTGAGTCCTCAGAGCATTTACTCACTGCTTTTCAAGGGAAGAATAATCTACTTCCTATATAGTCAAACTATGTGTTCAGGCAAGGGGACATGGGGTAAAAAGTGGTGAGATGAAAAAAAAAGTGGTGAGATGTGGGCAAGTTATCAAGGGCCCTGAATTTTTAGGTGTTAGATGTCTAAATTATCTCTAGAGAAGATGAGTGTAAAGCACATGACACTACATGCATCACAGAAGAGGCCACTGAGCCATGAAAAGAAAGTGGTTTCAACATCTTGAAATCTTCAGATTTTTGCTACATGCATGAGAATGGGATTTGCCTGTGCAGAATGGTCATAAGATAAAGTCTACTCTAATCAGGAAAACATTTTACTCCCCATAGAATACATTCCTGGTAGGCAGGGACTGCCATCCATCTTTGCATTTTTCTCAGAACTTAATTGAAACAACTTGATTTAGGAGCTGTTGATGACAGATATTTCCCAAGGAAATAAAAGAACATCAAGTCAAGTGATTCAGGTCCCCTGGACTCCTTGATAGACATATTAAGAGAATCCAGTCAGCCTGACAGTTTTGAATTTTCCCGTCTGATCTCACCATCTTTCTTATACTGCCAGTCTTTTTCTTTCACAAGGTGTTTTAGAGGCCTCTGCCATGTGCTGGGCAGAGATGCCGCATAGGAGTGGCAGCAGTGAGGAGACAGGAGTACTTCTTCCAAGACCAGGAAGCTGACAAGAAAGGATTCTGGTACCCTAATAGGACAGGGCCATGGAGAGGGAACCATTGCCTCTCTTTTAGGTTGGAGTTACCTGACTGCACATTAAGGTCCCCTAGGGACAACTGTAATGCCATTGGCACATGTCCTCAAGGTCCTAAGCTTCTGTTTTTATGCTTTCTCTCTCTGTATTGGTTTCAGTACCTGCTCACTCTCATTCAGTCAAAAGGTGTTTATTGAGGTTCAAACTACAGAAGCATTTTACTAAATATACAAGGATAAACAAAATACTGTCAACTTCTTAGTTGAGGACTTCATACTCTAGTGGGAGAGACAGATACAAGAATTGGTAATTTAGTGTCATACCCTAAGTATCTATAAGACACTTATGGGAGCATAACTGCCTCTACTTTCTCCCTGTTCCTACTTACCAAAGTCAGGAAAAGCTCTGATCAATTAATTTACAGTGAGGCACAGAAGTCTGATGAGAACCAAATGTGCTACCCTTCCCAGGGACATTTTTGCTTATTTCCTAGTATCTTAATTTTTAGCATGTTCATTAATCAAAGACAGCATCTTACTTTTGTTGAAATTTTCTAGTTCTAGTATCATTCTCCTAATTTAGGCTCTAAGCACTTCATTCTTAGTCTAATTTCTAATAACTCTTTCCTCCTGCCTTGTCCCTTTCCATAACATCCTTCACAGGCCCTTCAGATTACTTTGCCTATAGTCAGGTTCTGATTTTAGATCTTATATATGCTGGTCAAGCCATTTAAACTTTTTTCACCTCGATTTCCTAAAATGACCATTATAGAGTGTTTAGAATGATGCCCAGATGACTACATTTGTAATAATGAAAATGATATCATGTATGAAAAAGATTAAGATGTGATATGTATATGTACCAACTCTCCATGAGGAATGTATTCATTATATATTGCAAACACATACTAATAAAATAATAATAATAAAGTATATATGAAAAATCTTAATTGTAAGGGGTATTATTGTTTTATTTCACTATTCATCTTAGAAGAGAAAGTTTACCTGCAGCCCAGCCCCTCACCCTTGAGTTTTCTTAAGCTCTGCTTTGCTTTTACAAAATATGAATGTTTCAGTCCTACAAGGTTATTCTGTTCAACATCCTCTGAGCATGTCTTCATTGGAGCCAGGCCGGAACATCTCTCACACTAGTCCTTCCACCTGGAATGCTCTCTCCCTCATCACCCCACTAAAACCTTACTTGCCTCATCCACATTTTACTTGCCTTTCTAGTAAACTCAATTGCCACATTTTCAGTACAGCCCTCTTCAAACCACACCAGATACTGGCAATTTTTCCATCCCTGGAATTTCCTCCCACAGCAGTGAAGTAAACATACCCCACAGAAGCCTTGTTGCACAACATGTTGCACAGAAGCTCTTCACATATGTGGTGGGATGGTTTATATCTAGATGTCCCCAAAGCCTCATGCTCTCATAGATGGGACTTTGGGGAGGTGATTGTTATCATGGGTGTGTGATACTCATCAGTGAAGTAGTATTAGTTTATAGCTAAGTGTGATTTTGGGAGATGAAACCTGGTGGGAGGAGGGAGGTCACTGGGGGCATGGCCTGAAAAGGTCTATCTCCGTCCTACCTCCCTTGATCTCTCTCTCTGCTTCCTGTCTGCCATGCCATGAGCAACACTCCTCAGCCAGGCCCCTCTGCCATGCTGCCCTGCCTTGGAGCCAGGTGACTATGGACTGAAACCTCTGCAAAGTGAGAGCCAAATAAACCTTTCCTCATTTAACTTGTGGGTGTTGTGTCTCAGTGACAAGAAAGTAACTAAGACTTACGGGAATTATTTTTCTCCTCTAACTAGAATGCTCCTCATTTGGAGCTAAATTGTGCCTCAAAAAGTTCATATATTGAAGTCTTCAAAATGTTACTGTAGGGCTGGGGATTTAGCTCAGTGGTTCTGGCGCCTGCCTCACAAGCGCAAGGTCCCGCGTACCAAAAAAACCCCAAAAAACAAAAAACAAAATGTGACTGTATTTGAAGATAGGTTTTTTTTTGTGCATGTGTGAGGTCTTGTTTTATAGTTCAGGCTGACCTTGAACTCACTATGTAGCCCTGTCTGGCCTTGAATTCCACAATACCCAACTTCAGATCAGGTTTTTAAAAAAGTGATTAAGTTAAAATAAGGTCATTAGGGTGGGCCCTAATCTAGTATGGCTGATGTCCTTATAAAGAGAGAATTAGGACATAAAAAAGTGCAGAAGGAAGACCATGTGATGACACAGGGAAAGATAACCACTTATAAGCCAAGAGAGAGGCCTCAAAAGAAACGAACTCTACCAACACTTTGATCTCAGACTTCTAGCTTCCAAAACTGTGAGAAAATAAATTTCTGTTGCTTGAGTCACCCTCTGGGTGGTACTTTATTATGGCGGCCCGAGCAAACCAAAATACCCCCAAAGGGCAACTGTTTCTGATTTGTTTCAAAGCTTAAAGTTGGAAAATACTTACTATGTACCTTATTTCTTCCTTTAGTCTGCATAATCCCCCTGTACATCTTCATGTTTTATACCATACTTGTCCCAGTCATACCCAATAGTGCTTTGTAAGGGACCTTGAGCACAGAGGTTGTATAAGAACTGCCTGGCACGGAAGCATGTTGAAAATGTGTTTCAGCCAGTGGACCCATGTAGATTGCCTTCAAAGGAAGCTCTCTAAAGAGATTTGTTGTTTTCCTAAAGGTTTTCTCTACAAACCAAAATCTCTTGCCATGAAACACAACTGGCTGAGAGAGTGCGGTGCAGTGACATTGAGTGCGGCTGACATTAGAGCATCGCTCTGGACCACCGTTGATGAGGCTCTCAAGTGGCAGCGAGTGCTGACATTCAAGCTTGCCAGTCGTCTGGAACACTGAACTCTCTTCTCCAGGGTGGTCAGCCTCCAGGGCTTGAGCATATAAGTATTTCAGATAAACTGAAAACTTTTATTTTTTTTTTTCTCTGAACTTCCTTTTCTCTCCTGGTGGTTCTTCCTCTCTGAGTCCTTTTGCCAAGACTGCATCCATCCCCAGAGAGTTACCTCTTTCACTTAAAAGTTTAGGCCACGCACAGAAAACATAAAACACTTTTTTCTTTTTGCAGTACAGGGGATCAAACTCAGGACCTTGTGCTCAACAGCACCATTGAGGTAAATCCCTGGCTCTAAAACCCTTTTTTCAAAGAAAGGAAGGAAGAAAGGAAGGAAGGAAGGAAGGAAGGAAGGAAGAAAGAAAGAAAGAAAAAGAAAGAAAAGAAAAGAAAAGAAAAGAAAAGAAAAGAAAAGAAAAGAAAAGAAAAAGAAAAAGAAAGAGCAAGCCATGGCAGGCTGGAATGTGTGAATGGAAATTCACCATGAACTGAATTTGGGGGACCTCACAAACACACATATAACCAGGATAAAAACATTCGTGAGGTATTGGTTTGTAAACAACTGGCCTACTTAACTTTTTCAAAGGCACTAATTCTATCTCAGCTCAAGAGGTATCTCTTTGCTTCTTGGCTTTTTTCCCTTTGGGTCCAAGGCAGCAAAATCAGACACCTGTCATAATGCTGACCTTCCAACCAAAAACTAAACTGATGGGTACTAGGATGAATGTAGGCTCTCATACCTCAGCTGTTCCCCGCGTCCAGGCGGAGTCTATGCTGAGCCGGGTCCTCTCACCAATCTCCACACAAATGGGCTCTAGGATGACTTCCTTGCACCCTATTTGACTTCACTTTTATTAGTAAATGAGAAGCTGGTTTCTCTTTGTGATGAGAATATGGTCCAGCAAACCTGAAGATACAAAACTAACCCTGTGTCCTAAACTCTGACTAACAGGGACAGTGGCTGGGAGAAGAACCTTGCCTGAAGGCCACACAGGCAATGATCTCTTCTGTGGTGATCATGGGCACATATGTGTGGGTTTGGAGGTCTTGTTCATGTGTGCCACACTTGCAAGTAGGCCTTGGGAAGATGGATAGTTTGTCCTAAAGATTTACAGTGTTTGGTTTTTTTGTTGTTGTTGTTGTTGTTGTTTTTGGTACGGGGGATCGAACTCGGGACCTTGCGTTTGTGAGGCAGGTGCTGGAACCGCTGAGCTAAATCCCCGGCCCGAGATTTACAGTGCTTGTTGAGAAGGGACCTATATCTTTTATCATGTCAAATACGTGAAACATAGCAAGGCACATCATGTCAAATAAATGTGGGGACCACTTAGAATTAGGGAATGGACATTTGTTTGGAATCAAGAGTTCCAGGATTGAGCCCTAGTTCTACCATTAACTAATGTGAATGACTCTGGATAAGCCTCTTCATTTGGGGGGGGGGTCTCTAAAATAACCACTTTACTTTTTAATTAAATTAAGACAACTTGGGCCAGGGATTTAGCTCAGTGGTTTTGCTGCCTGCTGCGCAAGCACAAGGATCCGAGTTCAATCCCTGGTACCAAAAAAAAAGACAACTCATTGTGGAAGTGCCATTGACCACCCACTGACTAAAATTTCTTTTTTCTATTTTTTGTTTTTTTTTTTTTGACTAGAATTTCTTTTTTTTTGGGTACCGGGGATCGAACTCGGGTCCTTAGCTTGAGAGGCAGGCAGTGGAACCACTGAGCTAAATCCTCGGCCCTTTGACTAGAATTTCTAACGGGCAGTTATATATGCCTTTGAAGGATATAATGCGAAATGAAATATATAGTTATAGCATTGGTTTGGTGGCAAAGTATTTAAAAATACAGGCTCATTTGGACAAAACTATGGAAAAAGCCTTGGTGGTTAATAAGTAGAGGACTATTGGACTAGGTAATGCAGAAGTCCTTTCTAACTCTGACATAATAGAATCCTTGTCTTATATAATTGTTGTACAAGAAAAGTATACAAAGCCTGGGCAAGAATTACAGACAGGACTAGCAATGTGGGAGAAGTTTGAGGGAAGACAAGAATATTTACCTGATGACCACTATTTGTGACAGGGCAAACCATTCTCTCATTCAATATTTATAGCCCTCCTATGAAGAAGGTAGTATAAAGAAACAGGCTCAGAGAGGATGTTTTATAAGTGATAGAGCTATTTTATTACACTTCTAGGTCTGCTGTTTTTCAAAACATGCTCTACCAAATCTTTTCACTGTAGTGGCCTCCAAGATAGTTCTAGTGACTCTTGTTGCCTGGTGCTCTTGTCCTTGTACAATCTCTTCCTACACAGAATAAGACTGATTTTTGTAACCAATAGGATGCTGTAGAAATGATGATATGTGACTTCCACAGTAGGCCATGCAACATATTATGATTTCCACCTCCCTGTGAGTGAAGTCAGGCACCGTGGCATGAGGAAAATAGCCCTTGGAGAGTTCCACATACACATCTCTGGCCAAGACCAGCACCATGTAAGTGTGCTGTCATGGAAGCAGTGCTGGAGTGAGTTTCCTCCCCTCCCCCACCCCAAGTTGATACGTTGAAGCCTTATTTTTTAGTATGATTGTATTTGATGATAGGACCTCTAAGGAAGTAATTGAGGTTACATGAAGTCATAAAGATAGGGTCCTGGCCCAATAGGATTAATGACTTATAAAAAGAGCATCAAAGTGTTCCCTCTGTGTTTACACATGGAAGAAAGGCCATATATGCACATAGTGAGAAAGCAGCCATCTGCAAGCGAGGAAGAGAGGCTTCACCAATCAGCAAATCTGCTACTACCTTGATCATGAACTTATGGCCTCCAAACTGCGAGAAAACAAAGGTCTGTTGTTTAAGTCACACAGCCTATAGTATTTTGTTATGGCAGCCTGAGAAAACTAATAAAGAAGCAGATTCTTCAGTCCCAACCAACCTTCCAGATGACCATAGCCCCACCTGGACTGCAAACTCAGGAATGAGTCAGAGCCAGAACCAACCAGCTAAGCCGGCTCTGAAATCCTGAGTCACAGAAACTATGAAATAGTAAGTGTTGTTGTTTTAAGTTACTGTATGAGACTTTACCTTTCTCACAATTAGAGCCCAGCTATGCTCCGTCCCACAGATAGAATCTCATAAACAACACCTTCTTCTGCTAGTTATACGCAATGGTGGAGACATATAGTAGAGGGATCCTCAGCTATGCTCCATATTACACACAGAAATCTCACAAATGATTCTCCAAAAAGGTATGTGAAACATCCCTAGCGACAGTGAATAGAACTCTAGGGAAAATCTTCATAGATCTTGCCACTTGGACACTTTCTTTTCAGGACCCTGTTATCTACTTTACTAATAAATTATTTTTGTTAAGACTTCCATTGAATGGCTGTGGCTTATGATCAAAATAATTTTTAACAGTGTTAGAAACACAAACCCTGAGGGATAGATACATTCATTCCCGGGAGAATGAAGGGATTATAGAGGTCATGTACTTGGGGCTAGTTTATCAGCTAGCCCTGCATTCCAAAACATAATTCAGAGAAACATGGAGAGGTGATCATCACAGCATAGACCTGACAGAATACAATATTTTGAGAGGTTTTAGGTTTCAGGCCTCACTTTAATCCCAGTCCAGGAGAATCCTAAAATGTCAGAGCTAGTCTGCCTTAGAAATCACCCAGAATAGCCTCCTTATGTCATAAATAAAAGAGAAATGAAGGCCCAGCATTTAAGTCACTTGCCCACATGTTCACAGCATCCAAGTGACAATACAGCCTGGGCCTCTAGTCATTATATTTTAAATGCAGGTTATTCTAATACCCTCCAGGACTGGAGGAAAATGGGAAGACATATTCTTCTGAGATTCTGAAACTGATTTTGATTCTGAAGGGCCATTGTCCTTCCCACAGCCATTTCTTTATTAAGTGAATTAATTCCTATGTCTTCCTACCTATTTCCTACTAGACAAAGTCCCTTGGTCTCCCAGGCTTTTCACACAAGTCACTCAATCCACCTGAAAAATATGCTGCTTGGCTTAAACCCTGACATCCAGCCAGTGTTCACCAAGGCAAGAAGATGGTGTATTGGGAAGAGGGTGGATTCCAGGGTTAGACTGGGGTTTTCACATTGGCAACTGGTCCACTTTGGGATCTTAGGCAAGGCACATATTGCTTTTCAGTCTCTAAGACCCCTTCCAGTTACAGTGTGCTGCCTCACCAGTCAGATTAAGTCATCTCTTTTAATTAGTTAACAAGCAACTCTCAGTGTATCTTGATAATAAATGCTCCAGTCCTGACAAAATATTTCTGCTCTGGAGACTAGGAGCAAGCACCATGGTACAGAATTCAGGTACAGTGGAAGGTTTGAGTGTTGATCTCCACTGCCACAAATCAGATTTGAGGACTCCAGGGACAGTGCTGCCTTGGCCTGGTGTCTTTCCAGCCCTCACCTATCTAGGCCTCATTGCCTCCCTCTCCAAAAAGCACCTCTTATTGTTTTCTCATATGCATCACATTTGGTATATTGCTTTGGTGTTGGAATAAATCACAAAGAAGATAGACTACCTGAATATTTACAGTAGCTAACATCAGGGTAAGTTCAACTATTGTCCTGTTTTGCTGGGTTAAACATGGGCATTTAGAATTAAGACAGATCTAGTTTCAAAGTCTTGCTAGGGATGTAGCCCAGCAGTGCAGTGCCTCCCAAAAAGCATGAGGCCCTGGGTTCAATTCCTGGCAACGTAAAGGAAAAAACAAAAAACTAGTCTGTTTTATTGCCTCCAATTGTTGACCTTGGGCAAGTTTCTTCACCCCTGTGAGCCCCAGGTTGTCTTAATCTACAAAGTATGGTGCTAGAATACATCATGCAAAAGGTAGTTTTTAGAATTAAATAAAATTGTACATAAAGGGCTTCATACTGTGTGGCACAAGGAAAATGTTCAGTGAATATTAGCCATGACTATTGCTACTCTGCGGCAAATTCATTGAGCCTCCTTTTGTGTGCTAGGCACTGGGGATGAAAATACAAAAGATAGTTGTTCCCTTAAGAAGTTCATGAAGTAGTTTCTATCCAGGTTTGGTTCTAAGACATCTGGAAAAGGTGGGGAAGATCCAAGATCTGTCAAAGCATTAAAGAAATGAATATGCTTAAATTTGAATATGTGTGTGTGATTTTAATGATTAAAATTGTGTCTGGAAGACCCAGAAAAAAACCCGTATCTCCTAGGAACTACTAACATTACTGTTTATGAGAAGGTGAGTATCAGCTTGTGGACCTTCTGGAATGTGCTCATACCAGATTACCAGTGAGCACATGTGAAGATGGAGCTGTGTGGACTGCCATGGGGTGAGCCTGCACATGACATTAGGTAGGAGGAAGGGACAGAGAGGTGATGGGTGAGAAGGGTAAACCATGTCTCCTCATGTCTCATGGGTCATCATGCCACAGGCAGCCAATTCGACCCTCCAAGCAGGTGAGGGAAGCCACTCAGTGTGCTTAGATTTAAATGAGAACATGTTGTGTTTTGGATGGAGCCACCTAATGCTTAAAACTGGTGTTCTGCATCAGTATTAATTTACATAGCTTTTCTCTACTGCTTCAATCTTGAAATAATTATCTCACACTTAATGGAATAAGGGACAGGCAACTGACAATTACCACACAATAAGGCAAGTGTTAGGACAGTGGTGAGATGCCCAGGTGTGCTAGGGGGACACAGGAGGGCAGCTTTCAGAGGCTTGCATGACCCCCGAGTCTGCAAGGACGTGCAGGTATCTTCCATAATTCTCTGTGAACTCGCTCAATTAATACTTGTTGCTTTTTTTTTTTCAGTGTCTAGCCCAAAAGAGAAAAAAAAGAGGAAGCGATTAATCTTTTTGACCATGGACCATGTTTGTTTCTTAACATCTCTGTTTATAAACATCTTTGTTTGTTAAGACCTCCTGCCTGATGGTGATGATTTCGTTTTTGTAACAAGGTCCTAAATGTTCAGAGAACCACAAAATAGACCTTGGTGGTAAGAATTTATTTAAATAATCCTGCTATATGCTCATGAATGTAATGTTTTTCCTAAGAAGGTAAATAATTACTGACATTTGGGGGAAGACAGGGCTTAGAAGCAAGTTTCACCAAGTGTCTTCACTGCAGTTTTTAGTACATGTGCTGTCGAAGCGAGCACTTCACTGAAGTTTTTAATGACTTCCCAAAGTCTGGCTCACATGGACAGTGACTGTGTATTTCAAGGAAAATCAGAGAGCGCAGCAGATATGGTACATGAGAACTTGGGGAGCGGGGAATGAATTATGCAGGATTATTGGGATGGTTCATGTTAGAGACAAGTGTTTGATTTGATTTCCTAAGATGTGTTGAGCAGCTCAGTTCTGCTTCACTTTTCATTTTGAAGCCTCGTCCTCTGTAAACATCTCAGACTTGAATGTTTCAAAGAAGTCAACAAAGAACTTGCTCTCCTGTTTATTGATGGAAATAGGCAACATTACGTCTACTCTGCCAGCAACACTAGAAAGGGGGCAGGACAGACAGTTTCTGGACCAGAGGGAGGCAGGCACAGGGTGCCCACACAGTGCTCAGCCCTGGGACAAGCCCTGGGCTCTGGTGGCATTTGTAAGGGCAACAGTGTAAGACTTGGTCTCTAACCTCAAATTACTTATAATCTATTTGGAAAGGTAGAACTAAGACAGATAGAGCAAATAATTTATCCTGTTAAATAGTTATCATGCCCTTACCATGTGCTAAACCAGTCATGCTCAGCCTGAATGTGAGAGGCACTGATTTTTTTCTTTAAATACAAAATGTCTGTCCTCCACCCCCAAAGGAGCAGTCTTCCAAGAGTAGTTTTCAGACCAGTATCAACATCATCTGAAAACTTATTATGCATGCAAATTCTTAGCTTCAGACTCTCTTGGGGTGGGTTGCAGCAATCTGGACCTTAGTAAGCCCTCCAGGTGCTATCATGCATACATGCTCAAATTTGAGTACCACCTGATTCAGTAGACCTGGTGTGCAGTGTGGAGGTGTGGGCCTCTAGAGGCTGTATCTGCAAAGCTGCAGTATACATGGATCTGGGATTGGGAACCACTGTGCTGCCAACATGAGAGGTGCAGGGATGCTGAGAATACAGGCCCTGACATGAAGGGGCTCACAGTCTAGTGGATGATATTAAGCTGAATGTTATTGAACAACACAGAACAGTTCTATTCACAAGGTAATTTCTGGAAAAACCAGTGCTCACCCTGGAGTTGAGCAGGATTCCAAAAAACTGTGAGAAGACCTTGTAGAGGGACACACGAGCAAAAGGGCCAGAGGCAGGAAGGACAGAGAAGAGACAGCAACCTGTTCTTTCCTCAGACTTGAGGAAGGTGTCCATTTATTCATTTAATAAACATTTCCTGAGTATCTACTCATGCAGCTGATTATCTATGATTTATAGCTCACCAGTTTCCAAAAAGGATTTGAGGTGGTTTAGAATGCTAAAACACATCCAAAACAGGAACATAAATAATGCAAATAGAGCAGAGACCCATTAAAAGGAACTGGGGTATAGATCTTTGAGGCACCTAAGATGAATTAATTGAGGGCTTTCTGGGAGCAAGGCACTGCAGGAGGTGCTGCGGGATTTGCTGAGAGAGAGAGAGAGAGAGAGAGAGGAAGAAGCTTATAGCACACAAGGGAAGATAAAAGTCTACATAAATAACCACATTTAGGCAAAGAGCTATGGCAGCTTAGGGGCAGGAAAGATCATTCCCAGCTGTGGAAGTGGGCACCTGTGCCCTGAAGAAGGGAGAGATTGCGGGTGCTGAGGAAGGGGAGCTTAGGGCCACAATTGGCAATCGGAAAGAAGATCAGTGGGAGGGAGAAGATCCACAAAGTCCCCAGAGCAAAGGAACAATGGAGATTAAGAGTAGGATAAATCAGTGGGAAGTGAGAGTGTTCCCATAGAAAAGGCACCGGCTACAGGTGTTACTTCAATTGGAGAAATTCGTGTTCAGTGTGCTAGTCAGGGAGGAGTGACTGAAGGTGTTTCTGTAGGGAGTAACATCGGGAAAGTTATAGTATAGAAAGATTAATTTAGCAGATGTCTGCAAGACGGAGTAGAAAGAGAGGCTGTAGGTAGGGAGAACACTTAGAAGGCTGAGGCTGGTGTAGACTCCAGAGAAGAAAGCATGGCTGAGCTGGAGCCAGAAAAAGAAAAGTGGTTGAAAGTGGTATTTGGGAGTTATAATCCACAGTTTGTCACTCAAAGTGTGGTCTTGGAATCAGCATCACATGGGACATTGTGAGAAACACAGAACCTTGCCCCCATATCCCTACTGAGTCAGAGTCTGCATTTTACCAAGAGCCCTGGTAATCTTGATCTGAAGGCATGGGGAAGTGAGAGGGGCATTGGGCACCAGGGCCTGGCGACCTACTGAGCATAGGGAGTAGGGGAGGGCGAAGATCCTAAGGCAGTGCCAGGTATTTTCAGGACTGGGTCATCAGGGGTTAGGAATACAGTCAGAATAAGGATGCATTGAGGCCAAGAGGACCAGGCTAATGACCAGCTTATGGGGTCTAAGGTTGAGAGCTAGAGAGAGCCATAGTGTCTCTGCTTTTTATTTTTTTATTTTTGTTTTTTGTATCTTTACACCAACTCATTGTATCCTGGATCCACTTAAATTACCTACCTGGATTCCCTCTGTCAAATGGAGAAATTATGACACTGTTCCAATTTTATATTTATCAGAAAAATCCAAATTACTTGACCAAATGTTTATGTATAGACATCAATAATGGTAATAGTGATATAACAGGGCAAAGCGACATAACAACATATCCTACCATGGTTTTTGTTTTTGTTTTTTGGTACCGGGGATCGAGCTCAGGTCCTTTTACTTGCGCAGCAGACAAAGAAACCACTGAGCTAAATCCCTGGCCCTCCTACCATGTTTTCAGTGCTTGCTTGCTCTGCTCCAAGTGAGGTACTAAATAATATATACTTCTAAGCAAATCAATAGTAATATGTCTACTGTTATGGTTATTTACCCGCTCTGGATCGTATGGTTTATTTATTTGTCTCCCTTGGTAGATTACCTTGGTTTTCCCAATTCCTAAAGTAAGGCCTTACAATTAGTAGGAATTCAATGATTTTACTTGATAGTGAATGAAAAACAGTCAAGTAAGAATGGCTACCTGCATAGATTTAAAACATTATGATTTGGCACATATTACATTGCGCTTGTTTATGCTTCACATGGGAAGAGCTAACTTTATCCATTTTCCTGCTCCAACTATTGAACCCAGGATCAGGCATATGCTCAGTAAGTGTTCAATAGATTTAGATGAACAAATGAAGTTGTGGTTTGCACTTGTATGTTCCAAAAAGGTGATAATAAACTCCTAAAGTTAGTAAGACTAACTTCAGAATTCTCTAAACTGAAACTAACCAAAGACTCTTGTAATATAATCAAGCATGTTTTAATTTGGCCAAGGAAGAAAAGATGTCATAACAGTAGGGTCATGACTTCTACAAAGTTCTAGAAAAAGGAACTATAAAAATGTTATTTTTACAGTATCATTCCACGCTGTGTATGGGACAAGGAATTTTGCTAAAAACCAACACCTCTTTAGACTAGAGATAGCTTCTCCTGTTTTTGCTAGCCTGATGGAAGGATCCTCATAGTCACATAGCAATTCCTGGTCTGCCACTGCCTCCTGATGCAGCATCCTCAAAGGGAGTGTTCTGAACAAGTACCTAACCTTTGGTATAAACAGGTGACTAAAAATAGCTTGAAACTAGAAAGCAGTTTGAATCCCAGCTCCACAATATGCTAAGTCTGAAATCTTCAGCAATTTACTTGATCTGTTGGATCCTTAGTTTCTTTTTTCTGTAAAATAAGAATGAATACTTATATCCCTCAGGGTTATAAACATAAAAAAAACAACTACTGTGCATGAAACCCCAACCTAGTATCCGGTATTAGCACATAACACTAATGTCTCTTGTCCATCACTGTCCATGTCTCTGACCATTCCTTGGCCTTTAGCTGTCCCTGTCATGATTAACAAGGGCATTATTGTCATTGTGCATTCAGGCAGATGCATACAGCTCCATGGTGTTCATGGTAACCATCTTAACACGCTGATTCCCCATGGCCTCAGCAGCCAATAAGCTTTACTCCTTTTTGCATCATTATTTTAAGTTGACTGATTTGGTGGAAATCTACCCAGTGGCTTTGAGGACACTGCTCTTTTTATCCAACCATAAGTCTGCAGGGACTTATTCTAACCCCTTCCCTTAATCCATAGAGACTGAAAGCACAGGCTCTACCTAGGATCCAGGCACCCCGCTACTGACCTCTCCCAGGCAGATACGTGAAACCAGGGTGATGCAGAAGGCAGCACTTGCCACAGCTGAATGATCAGATTAGACTGGCAACTGTCTAGCTGTCTTTTAACTTCCCAAGCTGTTAAAGGTTTGCTGCTTCCATATGCTTAAAAGGGTCTTGAATTAAACTTCAATGAAAAATAAAAGTCCAAGGGGCATGAGGACTGAATTCCCTACTACAAAGCCAGATGGATTCGTCACACATCAAGACTCATGATTTGTGGCCATAATCCCACCAGCCACCACCTTCCAAACTCCCTTCCACAACTGACTTGTTCTTGCCTTACAGGCCTGAAGGGGGAGCAGGTGAGCCCAAATTCTTGGAAATTGGCGCTTGGACGTAAGGTTTCTGGTAGTTAACTGTTGGCCTCGCCACATCCAGGTGCCTCTTCTCCAACTTCATCTCTTTTCCCCAACCCCAGGGCTACACTTTCTTCAGAGGAATTGACTATAAATGGTCATCGGGGGAGGCAGCCAGAATACCAAGAGCACGGAGCCTGACAGAGCTTGTGTGTCAGCTTGACAACTTCAATAGCCCAGAGTCTGCATGGAATCCCAAACAGCCCTCGCTTCTTCCTCCCCAACCGCAGGGAGCCTGCCTGCCTCCCAGCCTTGTTTAAACAAGATGAGAGCAGGCTGTGTTTGGACTCAAAGGCCAGCAACCTTTCCCCAGTGGAAGGACAGGTCAGTGAGAGAGCCCAACCTGAGCAAGTTCTTTCTAACTTTCTGAAACTGGAAACCATAGGAGTCTTTTTGTCTCATAAATCTGCTATCGAAGGTGGGACCCGTCCATAGCTAATAGGTAATGCAGATTGCTTGGGTGTGAATGTAGTAAGCATTACGGCTAATTATTGTGTGCCAGGCATGGCACTAGGTTCTTTGAGGTAATAGACATACAATGTTTAGCACAGTGCTAAACATAGTATGAACATATTGGCACATAGCAATATCAATAGTCTTACAGAGCAAGTATTATCATTCTTTGTTTTGGGCAGCTGAGGAACTCAGAGATGTTCAACAATGTATCTGAAGTTTGATAGCCACCAACTCCAAGAGATGGAATGTGATGCAGGGCCAGTTGAACCGCAGACTGTGCAGTAGCAGCCATTCCACACTACCTCTTAACATAGTGACAAGGAGATGACTGTAGATGACAACCAGGGCTCTGGATGAGCCACCCCCTCCTTCTGGTGTCTTTGTGTTAAAGTTAATGACCTCTCTGGGTCCTCCTGATATCATCTGATGGACTTCAAGTTGAAGACCTCAGGAAAAGCAAAAGTTCTTCCTAGTTTTGAACCTGCCTCTTTTTCTGAGCAACAGGAAGCTGCTGTAGAGCAGGAGAATTTCCCAGTCCCCTGAGAAGTGAATGAAGAGCATATAATCTCTCTTATCAGACCCAGGGAAGAGAAACAGACTGCCTGCTGCAGAAGATGGTTCCGAAAATCAGAAACTCCTTCATAAGTGACAGAACTGTGAGCCTACCAAGGTCAACAAAGGGAAGTGGCACTGGGGAAATCTTTCTGTAAGTATCAGAGCTAAGAAATACTGCCAGGGGCTGAGAATCTGCCCCCTCATTCATATTCTTTCCCCTCTTCATCCACTGCCCCATCCACTGCACATGAGGCACATGCGTTTTTCTCTCACAGCAGGCTGCAGTGGGGGAGACCATGTATGGCCATGTATGTGGACAGGACAGCATGGTGGCATCACACCTGACAGTTGGGCCAGGGCACTCCAGCTCTAGCCAGGCACCACAGGCCACTGCACTGGCTGTCCCCATCCACAGTGGGATTCTCCTGATGTCATTTTGTACTCTTTCTATGAGAGCCCTTCTTTCTTTCCAGACTTGGAAACTACAGGGTGGGCCACTTAGCCTTTATGAGGCAGGGGTGTTGGAGTGTCAGGAACTTTGGGCTGCTTTTCTCTTTGCCATTCAGTTACCTTCAGCACTGCCTCCAGAAGGGGGATAAGACAGCTGGTCAGTTGTCCCCATGCAGTAATCAGTAATCTAAATTCACCTCCTTCAAGAAGCCCTCTGGGATTGGATCCAGCAGCACTTCCTTCTTGTCCTGTTCTGTCCCATCTCTGAAATCTACAAGGTTCACACACTGCTGCTTATATTCTTATTTACAGTCCTCTGGGGAGAGTTCTGTGCCTTGGCTTTTCACTTTTTGTTCTTCCTTCTCGATATTGTATATTCCATTAGATTGGGAGTCCTTTAAGAACACAAAGCCCTGGGTCATGATATCTCTTCCTCAACCCTCCTGCCCCTGCCCTCCCCTGGTTTATGCAGTTTCCAGTCTGCTATGTGGCATCCAGCCAAGATCTGGGCAGAATTAGAAGGTAGTGGGGAATCACTAGTCTTCAGACACCCTGATACAAGGTTGGGAGGGGCAGAAGTGAGCTCTGGTCCTCCAAAGGACACAGAGTCTATTTTTTTCATGAGAGCTTTGGGCCCCTGCTAGGAGAATCCTCACAACACAGGGGCTCCTCTGAGGCAGCCGGGCTCTGAAGGTCCAAGAGGAGGTGCAAAGAAAGAGCAAGATTTTGCTTTGGCTCTGAGGGCCTCCAGGACTTCCAGGGGAATCCACAGGCCTCACATATATTTATATATGTATTACGATGCTAATTAGTGCCGTGGAGCCAAGAGCCCTGATGAGTTTCGTGAGTAATCGGGCCTACTCTTAACACAGTCATCTTTGTCTGCGAGGCTGTAGCTTCAAATTGCTGATCTGGGCTGGGAAGTGCAGCTGACATGGAAACCTGCCTGGGTCTACAGCAGAACCACATTGGGCTCCAGGAGGAAGCAGAGCCTCCAGCCCACTTCCTCAGACAACACACTAAAGCCTAGGCCTTGCTGAGGTCATCTTGTCCATCCTCAAGTGCCCTAGAATAGTGCCCAACCCCTCTTCTAAATAGGAAGTTTCCCCCTTATTCTTTCTTTCTTTCCTACTTTCTTTCTCTTTCTTTCTTTCTTTCCTTCTTTCTTTCTTTCTTTCCTTCCTTCCTTCCTTCCTTCCTTCCTTCTTTCTTTCTTTTTCTTTTTCTTTATAGGGTGAAGGAAAATTGGGGATTGAATCTACCACTGAGGTATAACATCAGGCTTTTTAAAGTTTAATGTTGAGACAGGGTCTTGCTAAGTTGCCCAGGCTGCCTTGGCCTCCAAGTACCTGGGATTACAGGTGTGTGCCACTGTGCTCAGCTCCTTCCTCTCTTAAGGAATTCCTAACCCAATCATTCAGCCACACCAATGATAGCAACATGTGGAACTTCCTCTCTTTGGGTATCTTAAATATGTTTTGCTGCATATGAAGTCTGGTTTTTCTTGCCACTCTGAGGCCTGGAGATCACTCACAGTCATCTTACAAGGACAATCTGTTCTCCACTGGTAATGTCTCCACTGGTACTCCCAGCTGCGTCCTCCATCCCAGTTCAGGGGCCAGTTTCAGTGTGTTTGTCACTAGGCAGTGACTCTGTGCCAGGCATTGGGCACAGCAAGACCAATGAAGTCAAACTTCATCTTCCCAATCAGATGATCTTATGTGAGGAGACATTCAGATACATTTATCTCAGCAAATTCTGGTATTTGCTAAAATGGAGCTATGAGCAAAAGTCTTTGGGTAGCAGAGCAAATAGCAACTAGTTCCCAGCTCTGCTTGGGAATCAAAGGAAAAGTTTCCCAGAAGGGGTAACCTCAAAGGCCAGGGGAACATTTCCCAGGTAGGAAAGGAGGGAACAGACCATTAAGTAGAGGAAAGAACGTGCATGATGAATAGGCTTAAAAGGGACTGGTAGTGCAGGAACAGTAAGGAGCTGAAATGCTACCTCCTGTCTAGAGGCAACAGGTGCCCGTGGACTGGCCTGACTACTGAGCCAATGGAACATAGCCCTAGAGGCAGAAGGCTGCACAGGAAAGTTGGCCCAGAAGGATGGGGGACAGTTGGAAGGCTCTGGCATTAATGAGAGAGAGAGAGCCATCTAAACAAGTAGCACATGGATGATTAGCAATTTTAAAGTAACATTTTAAAAATAAAAGTTATATATACTTAGCATACAAAACATGGGTCATAAGTGATAGATGTCTAGGAGCCCAGCACTCTGCAAGGCCAAGGCAGGAGGACTGCAAATTTGAACCCAGCCTGGGCAATTAGAGGGACAATGTCTCAAAAATAAAATAAAAGAAAAAGAGCTTAGTGGGTTCAATCCTCAGTACCATAAAATGAAACAGAAGAAAAAACACTTGGATAATAAAGATAATAATCAACTGTAACCACTTTTTATCCCCCACCCCCACCCCCTGTACTGGAGATTAAACTCAGGACCTTGCACTTGCAAGGCAGGCGGGGTGCCACTAAGCTAAATCTCTGGCCCAACTGTAACCAGTCTGTAACATTTCAGTACATGGTTCTTTCCAATCTTTTTTTTTTTTCCCATGAATTTATACATTGACACACTAGAGGTTTTTACTATGTATACAGTTCTGTAGTCTTCTCATTATTATTCAACATTATATCATGAGCACTTACCCAAATCACAACTCTTTTGTTATTGGTATCGCTAGCAGCATTCTATCCAATGGTCTGGAGCCAGGAATCATAATTCACTTAGCCATTTTCCTTTTTTTTTTTTTTGGTACTGAGGATCGAACTCAGACCTTGTGCTTGCAAGGCAGGCAGTGGCACCACTGAGATAAATACCTGGCCCAACTTAGCCACTTTCCTATTTGGAGGCATTTAATTTGTGGTGGTATTTGTATACCTTTTTACATTTTTGGACATTATAGATTTTTATTGTTTTTGTTCGTTTGTTTGCAGTGCTGGGGATGGAACCCAGGGCTTCCCACATGTAGCCAAGTGCTCTCTCTACCTTTGAGCTATAGGCCAGACCTATGGACATTATAATTGATTATGTCTTTACTATAAGTTCCTGACAATGGAATCATTTTGCAAGGGCTATGAATATTTTTTAAATTGCTGAAGTAGCTGGGCATGGTGGTGCACATCTATAATCCCAACATTGGAGAAGCTGAGGCAGGAGGATTGCTGTGAATTTGAGGCCAGCCTGGGCTACATAGTGAGTTCAAGGCCAGCCTGGACTACATATTGAGAACCTGTCTCAAAAAAAACCCCACAATTGCTGAAGTATACTTATAAACTCTTCTTTACAAAAGGTTTGTTCTCTTTGCCTCTCACTAATAATATATTAGCATCCTGAAGGAACTTTTTTTTTTTTTTGCAGTACCAGGGATTCAACTCAGGACCTTATGCTTGCTAGGCAGGCACAGCACCACTAGGCTATACCCCCAGCCCTTGAAGGAACATTCTTTTTTTTTTCTTTATTAAATTCTTTTACAAGGGCCGGGGATTTAGCTCAGTGGTTCCGGCACCTGCCTCGCAAGCGCAAGGTCCCAAGTTCAATCCCCAGTACCAAAAAAAAAAAAGTTACCTAATAAATTCTTTTATTGGTACATTGTAGGTATACAACACACTTACATTTCTCATTGGGAATTGTACCTTTACATAATGCATCTTGGTTCTTACTCTTTCCCCACTCCTAGCCCTCCCTTCACGCCCTCCACCCTTCCCTATTTACAAAGACTCTATTTCCATTTTTTCCATTTCTCATCATTTTTCCTTTCCTGAAGAAACATTCTTAAGGGCCATAGTATCTTCATCATTTTGTGTGTCACATCACCTACCCTTGGGTATGGACCAGGAGCTTCACCGTCTTCTTTATCCCATCCTCAAAGTGACACCTTCTTTTCCCCAGACTTCCCCAATTATCCATGACAGCAAATATGGTTTGCTTTATTCTCTTAGAGCTCATTCCTGGGACAGGATGGTAGGTAATTTCATGCCAGAGTGAGCTGTGTGTCCCTTTATTGGGAACAAGTCAGTGCCAGGTGCAGGAAGGGCATTAGAGCACACGACATTGTCCACCACATAGGAGTGCTTCCCGATGACTAGAGCCACCACAGAGCCCCATTCTGGGAGTTTGTGGTTCTAGCCTGCTCTTCCTAAACTATTCTCACACTAGTCAGACAAGGATGCTGCAGCTGCTGCTGCTGTGCACAAAGTACAGTCTTGTGTGAGGGCATTCATGGCTACATGTAGATGCGGGCTGGCAATTCCTTTTTCTAGACGCCAAAAAGGAAGTCTGTGTATCACAACTACCTGGGAATGACTGCACTGTGCCTGGCTCATTAAGGAACATTTTCACTCACACAATCTCATCTGGAAAGTTGGTGTGATTAGTGAAAAGAGCACAGGCTTGGCAATCAGGTTTATACTAGTTGGTGACTTTGGTCAAGTTTCTCAATGTCTAAGAGTCTCACCTTCCTCCCCCTTGGTAAACGGGAGTTAGTATCTGTGTTTAGCAGGTACAGAAATCAAGACTCAGATGGGCCGGGGATTTAGCTCAGTGGTTCCGCTGCCTGCCTCGCAAGCGCAAGGTCCTGAGTTTGATCCCCGGTACCAAAAAAAAAAAAAAAGAAATCAAGGCTCAGAGATAAATGACTTGCTTATAATACACAGCTGATAAGTAATGGTGTTATCCACAACTCAGACTCCCCCACTACATTTTTAAAATCCAGGGGTTAGGAATCTAAACTTCTATGATCCCGAAGTTTTCCACCAGATGTAGAGGCCAGGACTTGGACATTCTCAGCACACTTGGCCTGCACTTACCCAAATGCTCTCTACTGCAGTGGGCTTGCTCCTACTTCCTTCCGCTCCTAGCTCCTTAGGAACAGGAAGTAGTGTAAGGTTTTGTGTTTCATACTATGTACAAGAGAAAGTTCCAACTGTTTCCTTCTTTTCTAGTCAAGGAAGCAAGATGGTTAATAGGTTTGGTTTTGTTTTGAGGTGCTGGGGATCAAATCCAGTGCCTACTTCAACCTAGGCAAGCACTCTACTGTTGAGCAATAGGTGTATGTGTCAAACTCCCAAGCTGAATGTAATCACTGTGTATCGCAAACATGTACTAATAAAATAAATTATTCCTAAAAAGAAATGGCATTTCAACAACAAAAATACAGTTGTCAACCATACATGAACAAGTCTTTGTTTTTATAACTAACGGTTTAACCTCCCAGTGCCCCAGGACGGTTAACAGGAAGGGATGGTATCAGCAAAGATGCTCTGAACTAAGCCATATTCTCCACTGAATCTGGCTCCTTTTCCATCTGTATACTGTAACGCTGTCTCCTGAAATATAGTATTTCACATTCCTGACACTGGGTCTTCTTGAGCTGTTTTGGTAAGCCCTGAAAAAATAAATAACAGAACCTCCCCCTTGCTGTCTCCTGCCTCCTTCAGAAGATGTGTCTGGTCTCCAGGGACATTTCTGCAATGCATGACCTTGCTGACTTATCCATTTTCTGAAGAAGGCTGTTCTCTCTAGAGGCCGAGACCTAGCATCCTTTTATTTTCGCTTTCTACTTAAGGCCCCATGAGTTTTCTTTAATTTAGAAATTAGAAAACAGGATTTTAAAAAATGGCCGTTTGAGGATTACTTAATTCATACTTTGTTACTCAACCCAGTCTCTCCCTCGCCCACTTTGGTTGAAGCCATCTGGTTTGTGTTCATTGTGAAATATGATAGTGGGATGTTATGCTTTGAAAAAACAGGCAGGAAAGGAGGTGAAAGGGAGCTATATTGCAAAAGTAGCAGTTTTGCCTTCATCTTCCGTGCCTCAAAAATGTAGTTGGACACACTTTGGCTTTGGCTGGATTATGATTTACTTGGGGCACTGCAATTGTCTATAAAGGCTGCAAACTTGAGTACATCCAAATTGTTTCAATAAAATTAATAAAAAAGAAAATAAATCAGAAAACTGTAAAGAAAGAAGGAAATCTAGACATGAAGGGGGGTTGATAGGCCCTACAGCAGGTGGGCTATCGCTGAGCCTCGGTCTAAACCTCCCCAAGGCTGGCAGGGCCCAGAGACAGGCTCCTTCCTGAGTCCTCCTCCTGTCCCCTCCAGGACATCACTACTAGGAAAGCCATGCTTTTTGAGTTTATGTCAGATATTTAAAATATCTTGACTGTAGCGATAATTTCATGGATTTCTATACATAGGAAACAACAAATTCCACACTTTCAATATGTACATATATCAATCCTATCATATGTCAGTTACATTTCAATAACTGTTTTCACAGAGTGCTTAAACTGATGTCCCGTGACCTCCCTAAAGCCATGCTCTCCATAACCAGGCCTCCTCCCTGCACAGCTTGGGCTCCAGGGAAGACCCCTCCTGGTGCTCAGTCACTCTGTGGGGAGGCCACACGGGCTACCGTGATGCAGTCGGGTCAGATGGGGGCACCCAAGTTTGCGTCAAGTTTGTGTCACCTCCCTTGGCTTCCCACTGCCTTCATCCTATGCCTTTGCCCTGGCTTCTTTCTCATTCACACAGTCACAGAGTCCCAGGTTCCCTCATTGCTTTTTTTGTCACTTACTAATGGAGTGCTATTGGACGGATTACTCTGTGAGTTCCAGTGGTTTGCTCTTCTATAAAATTCAGTTATTTTAGGGTCATTATAGAGATTAACTCAGTCTTCATATTGGGTGCTTGGCATATAACATGGCCACAGTGAGTGATGGCTCACACTGTGATGTGGTAGGTGAGAGAAAGGTTAAAGGACATAAGAGTGTTTAGTGTGCGTTAGAGAAGAGCAAGATGGGAGACATGCATGAAAGGACTTTCTTCAATTACGTAAGGGGATGGTGGAGCCAGGCATGGTGGTACATGCTTGCAATTCCAGCATTCTGGGAGGCTGAGGCAGGAGGACTGCAAGTTTGAGTCCAGTCTGGGCAACTCAGCAACTTAGCAAGACCCTATTTCAAAATTTAAAAATAAATAAATTTTTAAAAGGCCTGAGGATGTAGCTCAATGTGAAGGTCCTGGGCTTCTCCAGTAATGTGCGTGCGCACACACACACACATACACACACATTACACACACAGAGGCTTTAGGGTATGAGGAGAATGTATGGATATGCATGTTATATGGCTCGTGTCTAGATGTCCCCCCAAAGCCCCATGTGGTCATAGGTGGGGCTTTTTCAGAGGTGGCTGGATCTAGAGTGTGTGAGGCATGGAGCAATGCTAGGATCAAGGGCACTAGGATGAAGGGTGTGGGTGCTACCCAGCCTAAGTGGTCTGGATAAAATAAAAGGGGCAGGAAGATACTGTTAAGGTCCATTATTGTTTTTGCTACTTTGTATGCACCATGAACTATTTCTCCATTGTGATTCCTATCTGCCATCCATCCTGCCTTGGAACCAGCCGATTATGGGCTGAAACCTCTACAAACTATAAGCTAAACAAACCTTTCCTCCTTTAACTTTGGGTGTCAGGTATTTTGTCTCAGCAATGAGAAAAGTAACTAAGACAATGGAATAGAAAAGACATTGTGTGTGAGGCTTCCTGGCCTCATGACTTTGGGCAGGTGACTTAAGGCTCTCTGAGCCTCAGTTTCCACATTTTTAAAATGAGGATTGATATTAACTATTTCAGCATGCAGCTGTATTACATGATGTGATGTGTATATAATAATGTTTAGCACAGTATCTGTCACAGATAGATGTTTTAAGATGTCACTTTGTAAACGAGTGGGCCATTAGCTTGCAAAGTGATTATGGCCTTACTAATCCTTGGGGCCTCAGTTGGTGGCAGTTTCCAGAAAGGGAGACCTCTGCTCGGAGTAGAAAGTCATGCCTCATGGTGAGAGCTATCTTAGCAAGAGCTCTTTTCAAGTATTGTACTTCTTGTTTGCACAAATGGAAGATGGATAATCACCTTCCTGAAACTGATCTCTGTTGGGTGGATGGACGGTAGGACAGACAGACTTGTGAAAGTTTTCAGCAAGTTTGCATTTAATTCTTCGTCAGAAAGGACAGAGAAGATTTGGGGAAGGATGGGTGGTGCACAAATTATCAGATGCTCAGTATAACAAACACCGTAATAGCAAACCCTCTAGCAGACAGGAAACTGGGTAGACCAGAGACAAAACACTTTCTCTTGCATGTGGCAGAGTGTGTCAGGGGGAACTCTGGGGATCAAGACTGAGCTGCTGAGTGTTTGTGCTAGGTGGATCTTTACAACTCCTAGGGAGAACCACTGTTATCCCGAAAACAAGAACTAACCTGCCGTGTAATGGAGAGGCCCAGAGGCAATCCAGTACAAGGAGGACCATCGCGGGTGTATACCAGCATCATGGATCCCCTCTGCAATTTCTCATTCAGGTAATTACAATCCTGGAAGTCATCTTTGAAAATGTGGGTATGCTTTAAAGCCCTTGGGTTTGTGAGGTGTTCAAAGAGCTTTGGGCTGGGAGCTGGGACTCAGGTCTGGAGTCTCAACTCTGCCATTAACAAGATATATAATGTGAGGAAAGTCATCTACCTTCTCTGGGCCTCAGTTTCTCTCCCTCTTCTCCTCCCTCCCTTCTTTCTTGAGAGGTCTTTTTCATGGACCAGAAAAATTGGCTGGGAACTTATTGGAAATGAAGAATCTCAAGTCCAACCCCATACTTACTAAATTAGAACTTCTCATTTTTATAAGATCCTCAGGTGAATCCCAAAACTCCTACAAGTACCGACTTAGATGACTCAAAGATTACTGTGGTTTTTACTTTAAAAATGAATTTATATTTAGTAACTTCCATGTTAATATTGGGTAGCATGAATTCTACATTGAGAAACTGGACAGCGTACAACTGGTAGTTGTAAAATCCTGTCCAAATGAAAATTTCTAAAGATACACTTTAGTTCTGGAAGGATAGTCATGACTAGATTAAGATTTGTGTTTTAGTTCAGTAGTCTGAAGTGCCTATTTGGGATGGTGATAGGCATTTTAGATGAATTTAGGAAAAACAAAGTTTACCTGCAAAATACGTGAACTTCAGAGGGTCCATATCCCCCTAGTAGAGCTAAATGGGTTCTGTTACTATTTTATCAGAAAGTTTCCAATTCCACTGTCTTGTGTTTTCATGTTGAAAATACTTTTGCATTTTCCTTTGAGTGCCAATTTCTTACTAGTACTATTTCTTAATGTAACATGTTTACCTGGAATGTATTTTAACTATTTTTGTATAGTGTAAACTGAAACATGCACACTTTGTACACTGTGCTTTTTTTGTGGGACATATGCATTGTGATCCAGTTGTTTTTCCATCATTTGGTTGCGCTGACCTAGAAATGTTGGTCATGTCGAACATTAAATTTTAAATTGACCACTCTTTTAATTAAAATTAACTTTGAAAAGTTTATAGGATCATGTGCTGTGAAGTGATATGAAATATGTAATATTTTTGTCATGAACTGCACCACTTCTATCGTAATGTAATAAAAAATAGTTATAGTGACAAAAGATTACTGTGGTTTGTCCCCCAAAGTGTCATGTAGTGGAAACTTAGTCCCCAGCAGGGTGATACTGAGAGGTGGGGGAACCTTCAAGAGGTGGGAGCTAGTGGCAGTGGTTAAGAGGGATCAGTGGTTTTCTCATGGGAGTGCATTTTCACTCTCAAAAAGGCTCAGAGTGGACCATTGCAGACAGAGGAGCCTGATGCTTGCCCTGATCTGCCTTGTTCCCTGCTTGCACACGTGCCCCCTTCTGTGTGCTGCCCTTCTGTGACAGTTAACTGATTGTGTAAAAACTTCACTAAGAAACACCCAACTAAATTGGATCAGCATAGTTCTGAGTGTGACTGAGGGGATTTACTGAAGACAGAAGACTCACCCTAGGGCGGCTTGTTGCCTCAAAGGTACAAAGGGAAAACAAAGAAGGCAGGGTCGCTTCTGTTTCTTTGAGGAGCTCCAGCCTTCACCTTCACCTTGGACAGTGTCTCCTGGCTTCAGCCTTCCAGTGCAGACACTTCAGCCTCCCGATATGGACTTGCATGGGACACAACACTGAGCTGCAGGCCCTTGACTGAATCTTTCGGATCTCCAGTGCGCAGACAGCCATTTTTCACTCTTCCATACCTGACTCTTACAATGGGTGCCCACTGTAAGCCAATCTTGTAAATTCTTATATATTTATATATCTTACATTAAATCTGTTTCTCTAGTAAGCACTGACAGATAAACTTTCTTTTCCCACTTCACCACCATGTTGTGACATAGCTGGGACCCTTTACCAGAACATTGATAAACTTGGATGCCCCAGCCACCAGAATCTTGAGGCAAATAAACATCTTTACTTTATAAGCTATCCAGGATCAAGTATTTTGTTATAGCAACAGAGAAAAAGACAAATGGCAACCACACTGTTAGCATCAGTTCTGAAATCACACAGCCTGTGTTCACTTGCACACTTTGTGGCTTACTTACCAGCTGTGTGATGTCTGAAGTAGTAAACCTCTGTAACATCCAGTGTCTTTATCTGTCAAGTGAGATCCTGACAATACTTACTTGATAGACTGGTCATGAGGATTAAATAAAATCATATGTATTAGGAACTTTGCACATCAAGGCTCAGTAAATGACTTTTTAATTTCTAAAATTTCTCTGTTGAGATGCATGCCATACAGACAAGTGCATAAGCGTTCATTCATCATACATTTATAAAGCATCTGTCAAGCACTGTTCTCAATACCAAGAATACCAAAGAAAATGATAAGACAAAGCCCAGGCTTTCATAGAAACAGACACTAGACACGCACATTGCTATAGACGGAATGTTTGCCATTCCCCTCTCCTCTTAAAGTTCATATGTCGAAATCCTATCCTCAATGTGACAGTATTTGGCAGAGGTTTTGGGTAGTGATTAGTTCATAAGGGTGAAGTGCCCTTAGGAAAGAGCCCCCACAGCAGTCAGCAACACATAAGAGGCTCTCACTAGACAGTGAATCTGCCAGTGCCTTGACCTTGGACTTCCCAGCCTGAGAGCTATGAGAAATAAGTAACTTTCTGTTGTTTATGAGCCACCCGGTCAGTGGTAGTTTGTTACAGCAGCCTGAATGGACTAAGACAGACATGAACAAGGGTAGAAAAGGATATTCAAAAGTGTGGTAAATGTTGAGGAGAAAATACAACAGCAGGGCCGTTGATTTAGCTCAGTGGTTCCACTGCCTGCCTTGCAAGCACAAGGATCCAAGTCCAATCCCTAGTACCAAAATAAATAAATAAATAAATAAATAAATACAACAGCATGATGTGATAGTAGCTAGGCAGAGGCTCTGGTTAGCTTGGGGAGGGCATTCAGGAAAGGCTTCACTGAGGCTGCAAGCTGAAGCACAGGGATCTCACCCTGCAATGAGAAGGGAGAAAGAGTCTTCCAGGGTAGGAGAACAAGCACAAATACTTTGAGGACTTTGGTATCCACAGGAGCAGAGGCTTGCGCAGGGTTAGACTGCACAGATATCAGAGGCCTAGGAGGTACCTGGGCTCTAATCATGGTGAAGGGAAATCACTGGGGGCAGAGGGAGCAGCAGGGAGACTGGGGCTTAAGGGTGAGAGGGGCTTTTCTAGTTGAAACCTCAATAGCAGGATTATCAGCTCATGTACCTAGGTGGAAAGTCCAACCTGCCACTGTCTGTGGCTGTCTTTTAGAAACACTGCAGGGCTCTGCTTCTCTGTTCCAACCTCTCCTCCTTCAGGATGAAAACTGAGACCCAGAATGTGAGTTGTCCACTGTCTTAGCTTCCCATTGCTGAAACAAAATACTAAGTTTGGGTAGTGTGTAATGAAAATTTTATTTATAAATAAATAAATGGTGAAGGCTTCATGGCAGATGGTATCATGGTGAGAGTGTGTCCAAGAGGGATCACATGGTGAACAGGAGCGAGAGGGAGAGAGAGAGACTGAAATTCAGGGGTCCAGCTCACTCTTTTATAATAAGTCACCATTGTGGGAGCTAACAGGGGTCCTACCAGGACGATCTTAATCCTTGCTGAGGGCAGCACGTATTAAAGGTCCAACCAGCCACCTCTCGATATGGCCACACTGGGGAGCACACTTCCAGCACGTGACAAACACATACAAATCGTAGCACACATCATCACTTCTCTACTCTGCCTGAGGTGGGTCCCCCAGTCAGCAAACTATGAATGTGTGTTGTTTCCAGAGTGAGTCTAAACAATGATTTCACAAAAGCCTCCACTCCCACATGCCCTTTCCCCTCTTGTCCTATGCCCAGGCTCTCTGCCACTCCACACTCCAGCCCTCACTTACCACCTGATGCAATGCCCTGGAGGGACTGTGCGTTCACCTCCCAGTACACCAGTACACATATTCTTGCTCCACTGTTTGCTAAAGAATTTCCCATCTGACTGGTCATGGTTTCCCAAAATTCCCATCTCCCTTATTGTCTGTTTCAAAGACTTTAGCTTTGAATTCCATTCTGTCTGACCTCATTCACCATTTCATTTTTCCTCTGTCAATTTAATCTCCCAACCAGAGAGCGATGAGCAGGGTCTTGGGCCACAGATAGGCCCATCTCCACCCACAGGGCCAAACATAACTGAGCTCCTTATCTTTTAGTACGATCTACCAACAACCCTTGAGATCTCGGAGAAAACAACAATGTACAGAAGAAATTGTCATAAGCCAAACCTACGTCAGAGATATCTCCTCTCCTCTGTTATGAGAAAGTGACAACTTGATTTCTTGGTGTCAGGCAGGGATTAATATCACAGTAGAGATCATCTTGGTCTGAAACAGCTCTGACTGAACAGATGAGCACATTCATCTCCAGGCCTGCCTGTCATCCTCTCCCCTGGGCTGCCCTTCTTTCCAGCTTTCTACCAGGCATATATATATATAGAGAGATGACAAATGTGGGTTATGCTTCTTTTAGTTCAAGGCTGCTCTGCAATTCCAGAAATGCAAATGTCTTTGCCTACCTTGTTTGGTGCCTGTTATTTTAACATCTGATGATCAGGTTATAGAGCAAAAAAGATGAACAGAAGATGACACCTTATGCCCATGTAAAAGAACTGAACCACCACTCGGAGCTAGGTTTCCATGGAGATAAGCCAAGGGCTAGAGTAGTTGTGAAAGTACATGAGCTGGCCAACATCCTCCTCGCCTGGAGCACAGATTCTCCTGGAGATTGAATCCAGGGCCTTCGTGTTCAGCTATACCACCCACCCCTTTTTTATTTTTGAGACAGGGTCTCACTAAGTTGCCAAGCTGCCCAGGCTTGACTTGAGCTTGCAATCCTCCCAGCTTAGCCTCCCAGAGTGCTGGGATTATAGGCATGCACCATTATGCCCTGGCTTGATTGCTTCTGTTTCCATCCCAGCCAAATAATCACCCTGGGGAAGGGCAGGCTGGGACATCATGGAAAACTCATTTGCAAAGTTAGGTTCAGTTCTTGTGATGAGAAGTGAGGCATTATCCAACAGGAGCCCATGTAGGTTTAGAATCTGCCTTTGATATCCTCATGATTTCATCCATTATAAAGATGGAGGGCTTCTGTCACATCCTTCACCCTCTATGCTTTCGTTTCATGACTCTGAACCCCGAGGTCCCAAGAGCACAGCCTACAGACATCCTGTTGGTCACATTTTCCAGCTCATCTGCTGTCTGCTGTGATAAATGCAATATCTACCCAGTCAATGCGGATAGGCAATGTCCACATTTTTATAAGAATGTCATCAGAGACACTGGATAGAAGATTGTAGGATGGAAGAGCTTAGCCACTGCTCACTTCACACCACACAGCACAAAGGCTCCCTCCATCCTTTCCCTCCAACTGGGTCCAACAAGGGACTAAGTTCTTTTCCTTCTCTATTTACAGACCTGTGTCTTTTGTGGCATTGCACAGTGCCCATGGTTATAGCAGAGCTTTTCCTAGTTCCAATAATTCAGGTGTGAACCTCCAGTTCACTAGATCTATCGAAGGAGCTTTAAGTCCTGCTCTAGAGCGTCTCAAAATTTTGCTTTTTATATTCATGAGGATCTATACGTGTGTGTGTGTGTGTGTGTGTGTGTGTGTGTGTATTCTCACTGTAGGGTCACTATATTACTGCACTAGATATACATACATCCCCTTACTTAATCACTAACAACCTTGTATGTAAGGTTCCTCCTAACCTTCCCCTATAAATCCCAGAGATAAGGCCCTGACAAATACATAGGGCAAGAGAAAAACAAACAAAGCCCACCTAGGAATATGCATGTAGACAATGGTGTCTGGGTTAGGGACCTGTGGCCTGGAATCCATCTATGACAGTCCAGGGAGCCAATCAGATTGTGATAAGTTCCAGGTACCAACCTGGGAGGGAGGGTCTTTATCACTTGATAAAAGGAAGCTGGGGACAAAGGCTCATGAGCATCCATATCTGGACCCTCTGCCCTCACCTCATACTGGGCAGCCTTCTGTCTTCTTATTTTTCTTCTTCTTCACAAATAAAGTGTC